AGCACGGTCCACTCCTACTATATACCACCCATGGAAGATTCCAGAGCATTCGGGAGAAATCCAGAAAGAGCGCGAATTGAGTGTTAAGGAACTTTCCTTCCAACCTAATATATAAGTAACTTTGTGTGTCGGTTTGTATGTATGTATGTCTGTCCGTCCGCAAAATGAAGTGAGTGATAAGGCAGCTAATGGAATAAACAAGCCGCTAACAAATCTGGTAGCTCGCAGGACTTGCGCTATCAATGTTTTGCAATGGCATGATTGTGATAACATATATCCTACTATATATAATCGGCTAAGCGGTGTGTGTGTGTCTGACCGGAAATTCATAACTTCACCCCCTTTGGACCCAGAGCGCTCAAACTTCTAGGATATATAGGGGGCCGGAGGTGAACACTGATGACGGGTGGCGGGAAGTGATAACTACTGATAGGAGCTGATAACGGACGTCGAAATGTTGATGTCACCAATTTCGTTACGCCGTTCGCGTTGACGGTGGAGAGTTTGCACTCATGTATGATATGTGGGGTGAGGCGGGGACCAAGAAGTTGAGTGAACGAATGTGGTAGCAACTGATAAGAACTGATAAGGGGCGTCAAAGTGTGGATACCACCAGTTTCGTTGCGGCCCTTGCGGTTACATTGGAACCTTGGCTCTCACATGTGGTATAGGGGATGGGACGGGAACACGGATAGCGGATGATCAGAAGTGATAACAAGCGATAACGGTTGATAAGGAAGTTAGGATTTTGAGTACTGCTAATTTCGTTGCAGCCTTCGTGGTGACAGTAAATATTAGCTCCTACACGTTGCCTGGAGGTTGGGACCGGGACACCGATTGCGAACAGTATGAACTGATAACAAATGACAAGGAATGATAAGAGCGTTTGAATGCAGGTCTCTCCAACTTCGTTGCAATTATCACTGGCAAGCGATCAAGGTGGCGAGGGTTGAATGTAGGTGACAGAAAGTGGTATGAGCGGCAACTGTACTGATAAAAGTAGCGACAGTTGAGCGTGCACTCAGTTGAACTAAACCAGGTCCCTAGCACGTGAATATGTTCCATTCCTACCCTTTCATCTAAAGAAGCAAAGAAAGTTGAGCTGCTCAACTATCTGGACTTGGACCAATAGCGAATTTCCATCATATTTCCAATTTCCATCAGCTCGGTTAGATGCTGATTGATTGGTTATATTTCACTTACACACCGATTCTTCAATTGTGGAAATTCTATAAACCGCTAAATCATCCGAG